TCGCCGCTGTCCATATCGAATCGGATCGATCGGATCGAAATCTGGGCCATTTAACATCGCGAATCGCGCCTCGCGATGCGCGATTCGCGTTGATTTTCGCGCCCTTGCGCCGCCGCCCTGGAGAAGGGTGCCTCTTCAAGCCGCGACGCGCGAAGCGCGATTATCTTCGAACCCGTGGGGGTGACCTAAGAAACTTACCCTGAACGGAAACGACGCCCGACAACGATGCCCGCTGATGGGCAGGCGACGCTTCTCCAGTGGGCATCCCCAGCGGCGACACCGACAACGACGCCTGATCAGAGTTGCCAGGGGCTGCTGCCGATTCTCATCTCAGATCTTGCAGTCTCGATACCAATCCTCCCGAGAAAAGGCAGGTAAGAAACAAGGGCAGTGGGTGAATAGAGAGAGAAAGAGAAAGGATAATCAAAACAAGCAGCAGGCAACCAACAACAACACAAGGGCTCCAATCAAACAGGGGGGAGGCTTTGCTTTAGCGAGAGAGAAGATGATGCAGAAAGGAGGGAGCGAGGGTCGACAGAGGAGGGGGGGAGGAGGAAAGGACGAGGGGAGGAAGGACAGAAGGGGGAAGGAAGATCTCGGGGTAGGGGGCGTTGGCTGCCCTTTGGGGTCTCTGCGAGGAAGGGGGGGGGGGAAAGGAGGAGCCACACGGCGTCCAGGCGCCCCCATCGGCCCCAGGCGCGCCGCATAGGGGGTCCATCGCGATATGGCAAGATATGTTCCCCACCCGTCGGGCATGTCGAAGCCAGAAAAGATCAGTTTTCCTCCCACGCGCCCCTTCTCCGAAGAACGAACATCTTCCCACGTCTCCTTTTTTTCAACACTTGTTATCCCTCTCCTCTCCCCATTCCTCTTGGGAGGCAGACAGGCGGATATCGACGCTGTGCCCTGCGGTGCGGTGCGAGCGCATTCTCAGGTCCTCCGCCGCGAGCCCGTGTTTGGGATGGTATCGACCGTGCAGCCGATCTCCCTTGGTGGGTCCTCTGCGGTTCGCCTGCGCCGGCTGGATGTTGTGGAATTCCCGGAATTCCCCAAACAGCGCTTGCACACTCACTGCGCGTGGGGTCCACGAAGGCCGTTAACAATAGCAGCAGGAGGAAAGAAGGAGAAGAGGACGGCGACGACAAAACGACGCCGCGGCCACCCCTTGTTATCCTAGCTCCACTCGGGGGTTCCCGTGCGAGGAGCTCCGCCGAGGGCCCACCACAGGCAAAGCAGCGAGCGTCGCCCGCCACAGCAGCCTTTTTATACTTGGCGGCGGCGGCGGGCGGCGGCTCCGCTACGGAGCGCCGATGCCGCAACAGCCGGCCCTAGTGGAGAGGAGCAGCCCCGCGGCGGCTGTGGCGTGGGGAGCTGCTCTCGCGAAGCTCGCGCAGAGGGGGTGAGGCATGTCATCTCTGTGAATGTGCGAGCTTAGTTGACATGCGTATATTGTGTACATGTGTATGCGCTCGCATGCCGATGGCGTTTCTTCCCAAATGGTCTGTGCGTTCAGGTGCACCTTTCAGCCTTTGGCATCACGGCTTTGTTAAGCCCTCGCTGCAGGAAAAACGCATCATTTACATTGGTAGCCGGAGCTTGTGTGTTTCGGTCTGCGCTACGCTTACACTCTGCGCTGACCTGCAGCGCGCGCCATGGCGGCTCGCGTATGGAGGTCTCCCGACCGTGGCCGCGCGGATCGGGCTCCGCCTCCACAGAGGCACGACGACGACGACTTCGAGCAGCTCGATGACGAGGGAGCTGAAGACTACGAGGCGGCGCCCGGGACACCCGTCGGAGGCGCCGACAGAGACGACGGCGGCACGCGAGACAACCTCCCCATCCCGATCTTCGACGGGAGTGGCTGGCGGGACTTCTCGCGGCGCGTCGAAGCCTGGCAGCTGGCGACCTCCCTCAGGTCCGAGCGGCGCGGCCCAGCCCTCTGCGCTAGGCTGCAGGATGATGCTTGGGCCGCCGTCGAAGACATCGACATGCAGAGGCTCGCCGAGCCAGGAGGGCTCCAGTTCTTGATGATCGAGCTCAAGGACCGCTTCGAAGAGCAGGAGATATTGCGACAAGGAGATGTGCTGCATGAGTTCTTTGTCCTGCTCAAGAGGCGGCCACAGGAGCAGATGCGCACATCCAAGAGGAGGTTCAACACTCTGGTGCATCGCCTGGCCAAGTTCGCCGTGACGTTGCCCGCGATCGTGCTCGGATGGTTCTTTCTGGAGAAGCTGCGGCTGCCGAGCGATCGACGTGCGATGGTGCTGGCCAGTGCGAACAACGATTACGATTTCTAGGTGATGTCCGCGGCGGCCGAGAGAAATTGCCCAAATGTTGCTGAGTTCGACCGACCAGGCGGCCGCGGACAAGATCAGACATTCAAGCCCAAGAAGTTTCAGAGGTTCGCCCCACGAGGTGGACAACATCGTGCCATGCACGCCGAGCCCGACGATGAGGAGGTGCACGACCCAGTCCAGGACTATCTACACGACCTGGACGAGGACGAGTACCAAGCCGTGGAGTCTTTCTTGGCGAACGGTGGAGACCCTACCGACCTCCCGGGCCTGGATGAGTTCGAGGACGACGCTGATGACCAGGAGCCCGGTGACGACCAGGATGAAACCATGACGGCGCTGGCGGAGGCGTACGTGGCAGGTTTTCGTGAGAGCAACAAACGTTTCCAGCAGATAGATAAGTTTCGAATGAAGTTCACGAGTGCAAAGTTCAAAATGAAGGATTTCAAGAACCAGCGGGGCTACCCTCCGCCGTCAGCACCGCATCAGGTTCAACGAGACCCCAAGAGGCAGAAGGAGATTGACGACTTGAAGAAGAATTCAGTCTGCAAGGCCTGCGACCAGCGAGGGCACTGGAAGGGCGACCCTGAGTGCCCCAAGACCCGTGGAGGAGGACCGCCCTCGTCGGGAGATCGCAGGCCGATGTTGGCTATCCATGACAGCGGCTGCGCGGAGGCGGAGCCGCACAGGGTCATGACAGCGATGAGTTCAAGGACGACGACGACGGCCAGGAGCACGACCAAGCCGAGTGGCGAGAAGAAGCCGAACACTACCTCGGGCTTCTACTCTTTCCTGGCCCTCTCGTTCCCGGTGTTCATCTTCGCCTCCTTCGAGGAGATGCGGAGGCGCGTCGGGTTCGCGATGTATGACAGCGGCTGCACCAGGTGCGTGATGGGCTACAACATGCTGAAGCTGTGGGCGACGCTCTTGAGGCGCTGCGCGCGTGGCCTGAGGTACCAGCGGGTCGACGAGAAGGAGCGGTTCCGGTTTGGAGCTGGCGACCCGGTCTGGAGCACCTTTGCAGCGCTGATCCCGATATGTGTTTCACATCGTATCTCAGGCATTCTGCGAGTCAGCATTGTGCCAGGCGACCTGCCGTTGCTCTTTCCGAGGCCAGCGGCGAAGCAGCTCGGGATCCGCGACGACCCGAGGACCAGCACCTTCTTCAATTTTCCCAAGGAGCTGGGCGTGCCACCCGTGCCGGTCACAGAAGCTGACTCTCAGCATCCGCTGCTCAACTTGTTTCAGTTCCCAGCAGAAGGCTGGGTGGCGCCGCCAGGAGCAGTCTTGGACGAGACGGCGACAGAGATTCAATATCATATTCAAGGTCATCATCATGACCGTCAGCCGTCTCATCGCCAGGTTCAGCATCCAGAAGTGCCGGGCCAGGTCCAGGACATCAAGCAAACGCTCATGGTCTACAAAAACGAGCAGCGGCAGCACGATATTGAGCAGCAATACGAAGCCCTGGAGCAGCAACAGCATGATAAAGCAGATCAGCATCGCCAAAATGGAAATCGAGCTTATCAAAATGCAGATCGAGCTTATCACAATACAGAGCGAACTTATCAAAACGGAGGTCGAGCCAGACAAAATGCAGAGCAAAATCAAAACAAGCAGCAAGCAAAAGTTCGAGATGGTCAAACGTGTACATCGACTTCCGTAGCCCCATGCTCAAATCAACCTCTCAGGATGAGTCCAAGTTCATGTTCCATATCAGTTGGGCCCTCTACGGCACATGCCGGGCCACATTCAGAAGCGACCAGATCCTCAGCGGGCATGGTGGCGCTTCGCCCAGATCTTGATGAATGCGGCCCAGGCTCTCATGACACCCATGCGCGGCGTGATGATCAGCATGGGCTACAGGAAGTGTATCATCTCGAGGTTGACTCATGTGAGACCGATTCGGAAGGGGATCACTCAGATGACGAAGGCGGAGTTGCGCGCGGAGCTGCTGACCATAGGAGTGGATACCTCGGGGAGCGAGACGTGTGCAGCCCTACGGGAAAGCCTGCGAGCTACTCGACCGCCCGAGGAGGCAAAACACCAGAAGGGGACCCCCAGGGCAAAGCTGGCGTCGGGATTCAGCAAGCTCAAGAAGCCCGAGGCCATCGCTTTCTGCCAGGCTGCAGGCATCGCGTTCGACGGGACGGCGGACGCCCTGAAGCTCAGGATCAAGGCGTGGGCAGCAGCAGAAGGTCCGATGCCATCAAGCGCCGTCTCCGCGAAGTCCTTGCTGGGTTCGGCTACTCCTTCGAGAAGGTCCGTGCCGTCGAGCAGCGGAGGACCGCCCCCGAAGGCAACTCCAAGCACGCCTCCCATGGCGAGGGAGATCCAGGCCAAGGTCAAGAAGCGAGGTCCCCCGAGTACGTCATCTCACATGAGCCTGGACACCAAAGAAGATCGCTTGGCAAGGATTCGGACGGCACCGACTCGGACAGCAGTGACGACGCCAGTCCCGGCGGGGGAGGTGGACTGGGACCCGGACCAGGACCTCACGAGAGTCGACGAGGAGAGCGACGAGTCCGAGCTGAGCGAGGAGGAGGCCGAGTCGAGCGCGGCCGAGACCGACCAGGACAAGGAGCTGATGAACCACCTCGATCTCGGTTTCCAGCTGGTCAAGTGCAGCGGCCCCTGCGCCGCGGGATGAAGAAGCGCGTGATTAGCGGGCTTCGTGGCGCTCTGACTTCGTGGACGCTGCCAGCTATGTGCCTCGCGGCGACCATCGGCGAGTCGGCTGGCCTCAACCTTGCCAGCTTCGCCAGGGCCGCGGGGGAGACCGACGCCAAGGAGGTGCGCGTCGCGGTCGCCGAGGACGGCGCCAAGATCAACTTCGTGGAGATCTGGGGTGGCAAGGCCGCGGCATCGCGCGACGCCGCCCGTCGAGGTTTTCGTGTCGGCCAGCCCTGGGACATCGAGTACGGCGACGATCTCATGAAGCCGAAGGTCCAGCAGCAGCTGATCGACTTCGTGGATCACGAGAAGCCAGACTGCCTGGTGCTCGAGCCGACCTGCAGGATTTGGAATCACATGCAGAACCTCGTGTTCAAGGGAGACAAGCAGCGCCTGCGGCGGGCGCGGCTGAAGAAGCTACCGACGCTGAAGTTAGTCGAGAAGCTCTTCGGGATGCAGTACGAGGGCGGACGCATGGCTGTCCTGGAGCACCCGTGGCTGGGGCAGTCTTGGAACGAGGGCCCGTGGAAGAGGCTCAGACAACTGCCAGGCGCGGTCGAGTTCCAGACTGACATGTGCGCGCACGGCCTCACCTGCCCTCAGACCAGGAAGGCAGTCAAGAAGCCTACGAGGATATTGGCGACTCACGCACCTTTCGAGAAGCACTGCGGCTTGCGGTGCACAGAGGACCACGACCACGCGGAGCTGAAGGGCTATGGCAGCAAGGGCATCTCCTGGAGCCAGGTCTACACCAAGGACTTCAGTCGGCGCATCGTCGACGCGTTCGAGGAGGTGCACAACAAGAGCTACCAGGCCATGGCGGCGGACGTCGACGACGAGGACGACGAGGCACCCGAGGAGGAGCCCATGGGCTCCAGAGCGATCTCGTTCGGGGAGAAGGCTGGCATTCTGCCGCTGGAGGTTCGATCTCACCTTCGACGCCTTCACCAGAACCTCGGGCATCCCTCGAACGACGACCTGGCCAGGAACCTGAGGCTCAACGGCGCGGACGATGCTCTCGTCCGCGGCGCCAAGCACCTGCGCTGTGCTACGTGCAACAGGACCAAGCCTGCTGCGGGATCTCATCGAGTATCTCGCCTGTCGCCCGTCGGCGGCTTCAATGACGAGCTGGGCGTCGACGGCCTCTACCTTCGGAACGCGCACGGGAAGCCCTACCTGTTCCTGTCGCTCGTCGAGGCCTCCACGACGTACCACGTCGCACGCTACCTGAAGAACAGGAAGCCAGCCACCGTGGCTAAGGTCTTCCGAGAGCTGTGGCCTGCTGGACCGCCTAGCGTGGTCAGGCTAGACCCAGACGGCATGTTCTACACCGAGTTTCAGGAGGCTATGGACATGATGGGGATCCGCGTCAAGGCCGTGGCGGGCCAGGCGCAGTGGCAGAACGGCCGCACTGAGCGGCGTGGCGGCTGGCTCAAGCTCATGGTCAACCGCGTCGTCGAACACAAGTCAGTCACGAGCCGCGGTGACCTTGAGACCGCCGTCTGGGAAACCTGCCAGGCCAAGAACGACATGCGTCGGATCTGCGGCTTTTCACCGTCGCAATGGGTGTACGGATGCTCGCCTACCATGTCTGCCGACCTGATCGATCGGCCCGGCCAGATTGCAGAGCACAGCATGCATCACGTGTCCACGGAGCTCGCCAGGAGGATGGCTATCCGCACGGCTGCGCGGACGGCCTTCGTGGAGCTGCAGAATAGTCAAGCGCTCCGTCGAGCACTCTTGCGGAAGCCGAGGGTCGCCCGCATCAACTACCAGAACGGTGACCTGGCGTTCTACTGGCGGCTGCGCAAGGGGACGAAGCTCCACGAGTGGCGAGGCCCAGCCGTCGTCATCGGCCCAGCGGGAGCGTCCAACTTTTGGCTCTCGCATGGTGCTGGGGCCGTTCATGTTTCTCACGAGCAGCTCCGACCCGCTGAGGATGAGGGGATCTGGTGGCCCGGTCAGGGCGACGATCCCAACATCGAGGAGCTGAACGAACTCATCCGCAAGGTCGAGAAGGAGGACCAGCCAGAGTACGAAGACGACCGAGGGCGGGGACCACGTGAAGCAGAAGAGAAGGCCCAACCTCTACAGCGGAGAGAAGGCCAGGACCTCGGGGACACCCTCGAGGAGCGAGCGAGAGAGTTGGAGCTGGAGATCGAGGAGATCGAGAGGGACAAGCGCCCGGCTGACGCTGCCGAGCGCCCGGAGGACGAGCCGCCCCGCAAGCGGCAAGAGGCGGCAGCGCTGCATCATCGGGACCCGTGTCATCGACCCGCGCGGAGCCTCCCGCGTCGACAGCGACGCCCTCTCAGCCAGCTCTACCCGAACAAGGAGTTCCATACACGAAGGAGGAGTTCAAGAAGCGCCGGGCGGCTTTACAAGCCCGGCAGGGCCAGGTGTTCCGTCCGTTCCATGTCGGACCGCTTCAGCACCCAGGCGATCATCCGGAACAACCCGTTCACTTCGCCAATTTCAGTTTCAGCCTGATCGCGAAGCGGAGCTGGAACGCGACTAGGCTGCAACGTCGAGCGCTGGAAAAGGAGATGCCATGGAACATGATTCCAGCCAGCGGCCGCCCCCTCTATCGCGAGGCGGCCGAGTTGCAGTGGAAGCAGTGGGAGAACTACGACGCCGTCGAACCGCTCTCAGTCGAGGAAAGTCAGAAGGTAGGTGAGCGAGTCCACCAGAGCCGCATCTTGACGTCGAGGTTCCTCTACCGGAACAAGAACGCTGGAGTCAAGGACGCGCCGCCCAAGCCGAAGGCTCGGCTGTGCTGTGGTGGCCACAACGACCCGGACCTCACGATGGGGCTCAGGACCGACGCACCGACCGTGTCGAGGCATTCGGTGCTCACCTTCCTGGCAGTGGCGGCAGCGTACGATTTCGATATCGTGGCCGGCGACATCGAGTGTGCCTTCATGCAGGGCGAGGAGCACGGGCGTGCCGAGGAGCTCTACATGTCTCAGCCCACGGAGGGCCTGCCGAACATGGACCCTCGGTGCCTCCTGAAGGTCAAGAAGGGCATCTTCGGGCTTGCGGATGCGCCGCGGCTGTGGTGGCGACGTCTGCGTCGGGGCCTGGTAGAGGCGGACTTGAAGGACGAGGATGGCAAGCCCGTCCTCATGATGCAGTCCCGTCTCGACCCGACGGTGTTCCGCGGCTTCAACGCGGACGGCAGGCTGTGTATCTTGGTCTGCGTACATGCTGACGATCTCCTCGTAGCCACGAGGTCGCAGGCCCTACGTCAGGGAGTTCGAGGTCTCTTCAACTTCGGCGAGTGGCGTCACGTGCCTGTGGTGTTCTGCGGGAAGCTGCTGCAGGCGGACCCAGGAGGAGGTTTCCTGCTGGACCAGTCGACCTTCATCGAGGGCAGGCTCGAGCTGATCGAGATCGACAAGGCCCGGAAGCGTGATCCGAGCCTGGAGTGTAATGCCCGCGAGATCGCGGACAATCGCAGTGCAGTCGGCAGTTTGGGATGGCCAGCTCGAGAGACGAGACCCGACCTGTCGCGTACGGTATCTATGGCCCAGCGCAAGCAGAATGCCCACTGCATCCAAGACCTGCTGGACGTCAACAAGGCCATCGGAGTGCTGCAGAGCTCGGCCAGCGAGAAGTTTCACATCCCCAAGCTGGACGTGGAGTCCCCGTGGTGCCTGATAATCTACCACGACGCTGCATGGGGAAACGCACTCACCGAGGATGAGGCCCTACGTCGGATCGCTCAAGGAGAGAAGGTCCACTCGCAGGCGGGGTACCTGGTCTACCTGTGCGAGCGTGCAGTTGCTGAAGGACGCCCGGGAAAGGCGATCCTGGTGGATTGGAGAAGCCACACGCTGCCGCGCGTGGCTAGGAGTACCTTCGCTGCCGAGACTCAGAGTTGTACCGAAGCGTTTGATTCAGCAGAGTTTGTGCGCGCTGCGATACTCGAGATGATGTATGCCGGCCTAGACGTGACCAGCCGTGAGATGCTAGCCAGCATTCGTATGCTCCCGATCACGTGTGTGACGGATTGCAAGTCGCTGTATAACACCCTCCAGCGGGACGCCGGTAAGCTCCCGCAGGAGAAGCGCCTGATCATGGATCTGGCTTGGCTGCGTGAGGCCATGCAGCTGGAGGCTGCCGTGGACCCCCGCGAGAGTATGAACGTGGCAGATGCGCCGATGCGGTGGGTCCCCACAGCTTACATGTTGGCCGATGTTCTCACCAAGACGATGGATTTGACAGGTCAGTTCTGTCGCTTGGTCTTGGGTTCGCTGCACATCCCGAGGAATTTGCCAGGCCCGGACGAGGGCCAGTGAACTGTTTTTTTCTTTTGTGCCTGAACGCCGAGCAAACACGTTTAGATTTGCATAGCTTTCGTATATTGTGGTATTTTTTTACGCCTGACGGCGACAATGATCAGATAATCCATGCTATCGTGTTCCAGCCTATTTCGGGAACAAGATTTTAAGATCAGTGTGAATGTGCGAGCTTAGTTGACATGCGTATATTGTGTACATGTGTATGCGCTCGCATGCCGATGGCGTTTCTTCCCAAATTGTCTGTGCGTTCAGGTGCACCTTTCAGCCTTTGGCATCACGGCTTTGTTAAGCCCTCGCTGCAGGTAAAACACATCATTTACAATCTCAAATGCCCGAGCGCTCCTGTCTTCCAGAAGAGTTCCTCCAGCTTCGTCCGGAAGACGCTCCGCTCCCTGGAGCTCTGCCAACTGCCAAGCCAGCTCTCGACCTCGGCAGAAATGGACGCGCGCGCCCTTTTGCTCAAGAGCGAGCTCTCTAGGCCACTGATGAACGCTGCGTGTTGTCTCAGGGCGTGGTCGAACAGAGCGTGTTGCGGCTCATGCAGCACGTATCGATGCCCGCGCGACGGTGAACGGCAGCCTGAGCAGCATAGTCGTCGCGCAGACCGACCACCTCGCTCTGACAGCTATCACCACAAGAGTTCTTGCATCTAAGATGTCGACGTCCCGCGGCAAGGCGTACAGCTGACGCGAACGAATGGCTGCCAAAAAGCCAGGCTGTAGGCGAAGTGATATCTGCGGGGTCAGCGTTGACGCCAAGATCTCGAACTCCTTGTAATCGCGGCCGTGCTTCGCTGCATGCTACACGTGCAACGCTGTGGTCAGAATCGCTCCGGGACCGCTAACAGCCCCGCTCCTCCCCTCTCCAGAGTGCCCCCTGGGCGCCCCGACGTGGAGCTTTCAGGAGCGCCAGCGACATGCCCAGGATGGGGCGCCCACAGAAAAAAACGCACGCGCACAGCCGCGTGCATGAACACGGCCCCACCGTCCGCGAGACCAGCGTAAGGATGCGAGACTTCGCGCAATGCGCACTTTCGAAACCAGCACGGATTCATGCACCCGTACGCTTAGGTCGGGCATGCATCCCTACAGGCGGATTTTGGACGAAAAATTTAAACAATACACCAAAATAGTAAAAAAAAAAATGCTGAAATAATCGTCCACTGACTTTTTTTTACTATTTTTGGATTTTCCTCCTGTAGAGGGACATGCCCGACTTACGCGTACGCTCTCCTGTCGCTCCTGACACGGTGGCTACGTGCACGGCCGAAGCAGGCCACCGATGCCGCCGATATGGCACACGATGACCCTCAGGCAGCCCGAGCTCGGCCCAATACGGCCCCAGCGGCCCCCAGCACGAGTTACCGCTCGACCAGCAAGGTTCACTCCAAGATCGTCCCAAAAAGGCTCCAGAGAGGGGCTCAAGACGGCCGACGAGGCGATCAAGGTGGCCCAGGGGCCTCCAAGACGGCCCCAACAGGGCCCAGCAGTCCCCCAACACTACCTTGCAGCCAGACCCCAAAGACGGCACAGAGAGGCGCCCCAGATAGACTCCGAAAGCGCCACACTGCGCAAGAGCCCCGTAGGACGACTGCTCACGACCCCCCCCCCAAAGGCCTCCCATGCGCCAACAACAATGACCGCGAGGAAACCGACGGCATACGAGGACTTGTATTTCCCCCCGAGGGCCTCTCGATCCATCAACTTCGAGCACGCCCTTTGGACGGCGATGTCCTCTCCCGAAATTCCCAACGCCTCAGCCAACCCACCCGCCTCAAGTGAAGTAAAAAGGACTGCATAGGAAGCAAGAAGTTATCGTTATAAAGCGATCGCTTCGAACAAACAGTCATAACGGTCGCTTAACAGTGGGAAGAGGGTTTCTGACTAAGAGCCACACGTTCTCCCATAGTGAAGACATGTGTTCCCCTCCCCGTGAGTGGTAATCAAATATGGCCACAATGGTGAGCGCATCAGCGCCGCCATGAATTCCACGCACAAGCGTTTCTTCCAAATGAGCGACGAGGGAAATTTGGTCTTACGCGAGATGATGCAGCGACCTTACACGGTGGCTTACGCGGGCCTCCGGCGCGGCAAGCCACAACAGAGACGAGGGCGCTTACGCGCGACCTTACGCGGGCAGCTTACGCGGCAATGTCGGCGCAGTCGACCCCCTTTTTCTGCTTCGCTCAAATATTTTCCGGTGTAAGAATATAAGAACGCGTACTTACGCGGTAGATGTACAACGGATCAAACAAGCTACGCTCCAAAAATGCTCCAGCATAAGAGGAGGGAAGAAGAGGGAACGACACGACGAACGTGAGGAGGGACACCCCGACACGACGCGGAAGAGCGCGTCACACTGCACGGTTCACCCAAGCATCGAGGCATGAGGGGTCACATATTGCGGCTTCCTGCGCGCTCCTAGAACAATCGCAACCAAAAACGCTGGACCTCTGAACAGGCCGCAAATGGCTGAATATACCACCGAACGAACAAACTAAACAACTGTTTTTTCCAGGTTGTTTCGAATTCTTCTCGCCTTTCGAGCTCCCACGCTCCAAAAGGGCCTAAAAGGCTCCCCGCATTGCTCCAAATCAGCCCACATCCTCCCCGAGAGAGCCGCACGAGGGCCCAAGAAGGCCCCGCGACGGCCAAACGGGGCCCCGAGAAGAGGCGTCCCAACAAAACCCAAAATTGACCCAAAACGGCCCTACAAGGCCTCAAACGCTGCAAGACGGCCAAGCGAAGCCCCTCGTATCGCCCCAAGACAGCCCATGAAGCGCCCCAAACGGCCCCAGGACGGCCCAACAGGGCCCCAGGACAGCTCAACAATACCCCCAGACGGTCTAAAACGTCCTACGAGGAGAGGCCAGCAGGGCCCACAAGGGCCGCCACGAGGGCTCGCGACCGTCGTCGTCGTCGTCGTCGTCGTCGTCGTCGTCGTCGTCGTCGTCGTCGTCGTCGTCCCCCTTCAGGGTCGGCGGCGCCGGCCGTAAGGCCTTCGCAACACACCTCCAAAGCGGTAGACACAAACCCGCCGAAAGCCCAAGGAAATCTCCAACCTGACCAAACATGAGGAGGAGGAGGAGGAGGAGGAGGACGAGGAGGAGGAGGAGGAGGAGGAGGAGGAACAGGAGAAAAGGACAACCAACTCCCCTTTTCACCCTTCTCCCAAAACTGAAAACGGGTCCCCTTCTGGTGCGGGCGGCCCCCGCGCCTCCCGCCGCAGCGCGCCGCGCGCGCGGGCGGGGTGGCGAAGATTGGGAATCGTCGCGCAACGTTGCGAGAGAGATTGAGCAAGTGAGCGAGAGAAAGAGAGAGAGAGAGAGAGACCGCACGAGGAGGAGGAGGAAAAAAAGGAGGAGGAAGAGGAGGCGCAGAAAGAGGAGGAGCAGGATAAGGATGATGAGGAGGAAAATAATTACTGAAGAGAAGGAAGAAGAGGATGACAAATCTACAAACATGTAGCTCAATAGACAGAAACTTCGCTTTGACTGTACAACGGTGTATTGCGGTTTATATAATGAGAGCGGGCGCGAAAAGAGGGACCCATGCGAGCGACAACGGATGCAATGCTAACCTGCTGACGTGCCTAAGGGCGAGGTGGCCTGCTGTTTGAGCCTGGTGTTCAAACGGGCCCGTCGCATCTTGCTGGTAGCCCAGACGCAGGCCGCCAATGCCACCATAAAGCCACAACATATAGCCGATATCAAATAATTGAAGCACGAGGCAGGGCAAGGAAGGGGCACTACGAACCACCTTTCCGATATAAGATTGCCGCGCTTGGGAACCTTCTACTGACCAGGCCCCATTCATGAAAAGTGCCGGTGGCTGGGAACCTTCTACTGACCAGGCTCTTTTCAAAAGCTGCGCTGGCAACAGACAGTTGGCAGCGCAAACAAAAATGACAACTCACCTGCTGCCTCTCGAACACAATTCGAGACGACAGGCCTTCAATGGTATGTTGACATGATGGCATTCGCGAACACATTTCACGGCATGCGAGCTTCTGCGCTTCTCTGGCTCTCTGTGCCGAACTGTCTGACGTCCGAATAGATGGCTGACGGCCGTGTCGCATTCGCGAACACACTTCGCGAAATTCTACTCTGCGGCTGCATTCGCGAACACAAGTCGGGCACCACGACAGGTGGCTTAGCCCGTGGTGCCATAGATCTCCTCGTTCAGGTGACTGTGTTGTGAGCTGGGGACGGTATTGTTGGCATTCCCTTTCTTCAGGTTGACGATGTTGTGCTCGTAGATGAAGTCGCCGTCCGCGATACTCAAAATCAGTTCGCGGCCGATGCTGCCTTTCGTCGCTTGGTCGGCGCGCATGTCTCTGGTGTCGCGCCACCGGATGTCGTCTAGCTGTTTGGTGCGTGCATGGGAGAGGGCATTTCACGGGCGCCTGTCCTGGGAACAGTCGGCAGCGCGCCTCGAAGCGGTTGGGGCGCAGCGACGATTGCCAGAGAGGGCCCAGAGGCCGCAGAGGGAACACACAAATCACCATATCGAGCCCGCGCCCCCAAAAGCCACCGAGAGGCCCTTAGGAAGGCGCACGAGGCTTCGCATGCTCCTCAGACGCCCCCGAGACCCTTCTGACGAGACCTCAAAGGGCATCCATTAGAACTCAGACCCACAGCCAAAACACAGTGGCGGGAAGAGCCAAAGGCCACACCACCACCACTTACACCACAAACCACAGCACCACCACCACTACTATCACAACCACCACCACCACCACGACCCACCACCACCACCACCACAACCACCACCATCACAACAAACCACTACACAACCACCACCAGAAACGCCACAACCACCAGCTCCGCCACAAACCACCACAACCACCACCACCACAAATAACTTCCACACCATTACCAGCACCATCACCACCACCGCCACCACCACAACCATCACCACAACCCACCACCACCACCACCACAAACCACCACGCCACCACTACCGCCCCCACCACTACCACCACCACCACCACCCACC